AATATAAAAATGCTAACAATGAAAATCTCAAAGAATATCACTGCTCATGTGTAGCTCAATTTTAAGTGTTAAAGAAGCTATTAATTAAAATACAGAACTTACTTAAGTGCTAAAAACATGTTGAGCTGTAGTGGTTCATTTTAAACATAGTAATTTTATGATTGAGAAAATAAGAGTTTTAAAGACAAAAAGCCACCCCGAATTAAAAATAAAAAAAGTTAATTTCCAGGAGAAATTTATGTTTGACTATGATTAAGAGGCTTATTACAATTAAAAATCCTTTATTTATTTCAATGGTTACTCTTCGACGAGCTTCAAATGGTGTAATTGCAATAGAATTGGATTTGATAGCAGATTGTGTTTCAATCTTAAAACCCTTTGAATGTATGACGTCATAGTTTTCCGGAAAAAAATATCTGATATTGTCTTTAGTAATACTACTTGTAAGAAATCTTCAATATACAGTAAATAATATAAAACCAGACACTAATGATAGAATATTACTACAAAATTCGTTATTAGAAATAATCCCAAAACGCTTAGAATCTTTAAAAAAAAATTAAAAAAATAGTAGAAAATTAATTTTTTTAAATCCAGATTTAAAAATTCTACTTTTGAAATAGCTACTTATTCTGAAAATACGTAGAAGTAGAGAAAATTGAAACTTTACTTCTATTTGTACGTTTGCACCGAATTCAATATTTTGTTTTAATTTATACTTACATATTTATACATTCATATTATTATTCTTATCTCATTATAAATTCACGTTTATATTTACACAGGATATTATTAATACTATTGTTAATTAACGATTTGTCACGATGCACAACACAGATTAATAATTTAAATGCAATATATTAATAATAATAATAAAATATAACAAAAGAACAATAAAATTAATTTAATATTGATAATAATGATGTCTTTAAAAAAATTATAAAGGAAAAAAATAAAGGAGAAAAATATAAGATTAAACAAAAACCAAATAAATGTCAAAATGACAGATTAAAGTAAAAATGCTACGAAGACGGCAGAAAGCAGACAAGCGCCGCCGTCGTTCTCGACGATCGTCACACCGTCCGCGAACGCTTCGGGGCTCATCGCCGACTCCGAAAACTGGTTTGATTATCTATCGGGCGTCCCGATTGATAATGGAACGAATGGTGACACCATGGCAAAGGGGTGTAACGGGTGAGATCACGGTATTCGTGTGACACGACCGTGTCAGATTGCGTTATCGCTTCTGCCAAATAGAACCGCGGATAGTTATATTTACATTTATACATATCTTATTATTTTTAATATTTAATATTTTATTATCTATCAACCTTATTAAAATTATAATCGCGCTTTGTCCATCATTCGACCTGTCGCCGCGACTACCACAGATTTATCCATCGCGTGATGGTACGCCATTGCCGCCTCGCGATAGGTATAAAAGGCAAAAGCACAGGTCAAACCGATACCATTTACCTTCTTTCCGATATCGGAGTAAGACCTACCCGAGGCGACTTACACGACTAGGAAGAAGGTCTCCCCCCTCCAAGCCTGTTCTAGTGGTTTTGCGAACCGAGCAATGGTGCAATAGTCGGAGTTATTCTGTCATTGCACCGGGTATTCAGACCACTCGACATTTTAGTTTTTTCCCGTCCAGTTATACCGACTGCGGATCAAACTCATCGGAATTGTCATTGTGACAGATATCTAAGTAAATAGCAATTTTCTTATTGTTATTTTTTTTTTTTTTTTATTATTACGATCACTACGATCTGATTTTATAAATATCTTTATATTATTATTATTATTATTATTATTATTATTATAATTATTATTATTATATTTTGTTTATGATTCTAATTAGTTGATGTTATTCCGACAACTTTATCAATAAAATACATTTATCTTCAAATATATAGTTTTGTCCAATCATAAACATTGTTTTAACGAAGATTATTCAAATATAACTGAAACACTAGAACTAGCAACTTTAATCGAGTCCATCAATTCTATATGGAAACATTTCAATACTAAATTATATCAAATCAGAAGTTTTATTGACCTTGAAGTAAATGTAACATTAATAGTTTTTCAATACATCGAAATACCAAATTTATAGCTTACAAAATATTGTTAAGATTTCGGAAACAACATAAACAAACATTTCCTAAATTTTACAAGCTGAAATTAAAATATTTATGCATATCTCTAACTTCGGTTCCACTATAGCGAGTATTTATCAAAAGTTGGATTGTCAATTAATGACCGTATAAATAGGTTGTCTCCAAAATAATTTAATTCCATAATATTCTAAAATAGTAATTTAAATATGATATACTTATATGTTATTCTTATATTGATTTAATATTAATAAAAATCTTTAAACATGTTTTTCTTTATTGGTAAACTACTACAAAGACTCCCTTTAATTTCTTATCACTACAGTATTCTAGGGCAAAAGTCCCTCTAAAATTGAGGTCTAATTGCGCCTATGTATAATTATTTTATTTTAAATTGTATTTTGGTGTGATTTTATATAATAATAGGTGTAATACTAATTAGCATTATTAAAATTAAAAAATTTTAGGTTCTTTAAATAATTATTTACTATTATTATTATTTATTATTTATTTTTATTTACTGGTTTATATTTTTTATGAATTTTCCTACCTAAAGCACTGCTTAACGGCATTTCCAGGAGCGGGATTTATTGCTGATTTTTTGAAAATGAAAAAAGGCACATTAATTTATTTTAACCAAGTTTTCAATTTTTATTAATAAGTCGACTACTAATTGATTTTTTTATCAATAATATTAATATTTAGATTCTTTCAATCAAGTGAATATTAACACAAATTCTGTGTGTTTTTTCAAAATGTGTTCAGCATTAATTTATATATCCTGTGTCTATTTAATTTTATTTTAACCTCACTCTTCTCTTGTAATAATTATATATTTTCGGCTTATCAACAACCGGAGACCGACAACAAACAATGTAAAATCTATTTTACTTCCAAGACTATTCAGTTGTACTAATCTGTTCTCAAACCTTTGTAACCCCGAATGCCCTCCCTCAAACAAGAATGAAGATGATCAACCCATATCCTCTTGCACTTTCACTCTATTTTATCATTTTCTCTTACTATTTTTTGTTTTCTTTCATTTTGGATTATTATAAATATTTATTATTTTAAAGATATTACCCATCCTTGGAGACAACATATATAAGGCGAGAGTGTACGCCCGAAACTTCGTAATCCCATCGATAAGGAAACCATAATAATTGTATAAAATTGTAGCTTGTACTGTAGTATTTTATTTTTATAGTTTCTAGGTATTTGGGTATTCTGAAATCATTATCTAGATATTCCGAAATCATCATTCTCAGATTATTTACAGATTATTTTTCATTAATATTTTGCAGTCGTTTCCGATTTTTCGTAACGTATGCATGCTAGTTAGTTTCGTGAATTCAGTATCTAATAGAAGCTAAAATAATAAAATAATATAATAAATAATAATAATTAAATAATAATTTTTATATACAAACGTTTTTTTTTTGCATATTTTAGTATTTTTAGTGCATATTTAAGCGCTTATATGAATACTTTTTAGAGCATATTTAATATAAATAAATATTTAAATAAATATTTAAGCTCTTATAACAACATTTTTTAGAGCTATAAGTTATAAACCCTGGTTATAACTATAGTAGATAACATAAATACGTAGTGCACTTAGAAATAATATGGCAATTAGTAGTAGTTAAGCAAAGTTGATATTAAGGTTAATCACGAACAAAAAAATTACTAAATATTGGATCGATACCAAAACCAGTTAGGTTTTTGTATACGAGTACTTGAAAGGATTTTCTCCGAACAAATACAAAATTTAATATTGATCGCTTTGACAAATAACGTTTGGATTATATCTAACCCAAGCAGGAATATTTATATTTTTAAAATTTATAACATGTATTATTTGAATACCAAAATACATAATATTGATCTATTTAAATGCATCCTATTTTGTTACTCGCTGCATGCTAAGAATATTGAACTTCAATATCAACGTATCGCAATGATTGATAGTTTAAGCACATACAATCTAGATCATTAACTCTATTCGTTATGTACAATTTAATGTTTAAAAATAATAAAAGTATTGTATTATAATTGAAAATTTTGCTTATCAATATTGTAATATCAATACTAATAATTAGTTAATCATTATTGAACCAAGTTTATTACTTTGACCAGAATAAATTGGACTCAAACTTTAAAGAATAAAAATAAAAAATTTTACATTATAAATAATTGTTGAACCTTTTAAGAAATAATGAGAACAATTAAATTAAAAAATGTAATTATGATATACACTATATACTAATTGTTAACTGAAAATAATCAAAAAAAAAACTTTACCATACTTGGTTTTGTAATAAAATATTAATCAACATTTTAAAGCCCTTTCCAAGTACCCGAGAACGAACAAAACTATTCAAAATATATCATTATGAAAAAAGACATTTTCGTACCTATGATAATACCCATAACGAAATAAATCATTTCAAATAAAACAATTATCCGTATATTTTCTGATCTCTTTGGAGAATTATTGTGTATGGATTTTTTTTATTAATTTTTTAATAATTTTTCCATACAAAGTGCACATCTATGAAATATTAGTTAAATCATTGCACAAGATTATCACGTTTTTCGGAAAAATTTAACGCGATCATTAAGTACTAACTGCAATCATTTTTACAATAGTTTTATTATCAATGTAATCAAATGATTCATATTACAATTGCGATGTCCAATTAAATGTTCGAGTTGTACTCAGAAAAATAAGCCGAAAACGTGATATTCACAAAAACATAAATCATCGATCGCATATTCGCAATATCCATTTTAAAGGTTTTAAATGCGATATCTATTTGTTTATTTAACCTGATATTTATTTGATGTACCTATTAATTGTTTTGTTCTCGTCTGCAGAAACAGTACACGCTGCTGATGTGCGCGGCGAGGAATAACCGTCTGTCCGTGGTCAACTTCCTATTGGACAACATCGACGACGTCGGTCTGGACGCGTTCGATACGGACCATCAGACGGCCCTGCACCACGCGGCTATCGCGGGTCACACACACGTCGTACGGAGACTAGTGCACGCCGGGGCCAACACGAGCACCACGAACAAGGTACTACTCTATTTAATCGAATCGTACTTTTGAAAACTACGTGGTGGCGGTTTCAGTCTCTGATCCGAGCTTACCAATTGTGATGTTGCCTATCCCGTTAGTGATGAACACGACATGGCCCCGCACGCACTGATTAAAGTGCAAAGAAAAAAAAAAAAAAAAGGAGCAAGAATCTTAGGTCGGATGAGACACCACGGTGAAACGGTATAAAAAATTGGGAATGTTATCGCTGTGTTGGTCTTTTTAATTTAAAACTCATATACTACTACTCTCGAAAAATATTTTTTGAGTGAAAAAATCGGGTGAATAGGTTTATATTTTTTAATATAACTCATCAGGGAATATCGGTATTTTTGAAATTATCTTACGGAGTACAAAATAACAATAATTCCCCCCTTCCCCCCCCCCCATAAATCTTTGACGATTATTTTCCGCATATATTTATGTAACGCCTAATGTCTGAAGGACGGTTACACTTAAGATTAGTCGGATAATCATAAGTTTAGCCAATATTGTTGGCTAATGTCAAAATTTCGGATCTTGTCCACCAAAAATTAACATTATCCGTCTACACATTGCTAATAAATAAATAATATAATCCAAACAAATAATTTAACGATATAAGTCATACAAAAAATATTATAGATAAATACTTTAAAAATTCGAGAAGATTAATTAATTGGTTTTTATTTATTTATTACTACATGTTAAACTGGAGTATAATATTACAATAGTTGTAAATGCATGTATCATAATTTTAAATTCGTTCAATAATAAATCGATAAAACAAGATATTTTATATTAAATACTAAAAGCTGATACCTTTAGTGCTTGAACCAAACTTGCCTCGCTAATATATGATTACGGATGGTACTTATCAGGCATACAATTGTATGCAACCAAATGTAGATGAATATTGAAATCCATGTACATTTTAAAATAATATTAGAATACACACAATCGAGAACTGTAATTAATGTACAATGGATATTATTGCAAATATTTTACATGCATAATTCACCTCTGTCCAACTTTCCAATATATTAATACAAATTTAAAATTAGTTTTAATTGGAAGGCTAATGTTATATAGTAATTAGGCGATAACGGTTGGATTATGTTAACTGTATTGGCTAGTATCGAGATTATCCATTTGTATTAATGGGTAAAATCTGAAAGTTTGACATTAGGCAAAAACATTGGCTAAACTTGTGATTAACCGGCAACCTAATCTTAAGTATAGCCATCCTTCAGATACAAGATGTAAAGAATATAAATGTCAACATTTACATGTAAAAATAGTTATTATAAAACTTGTAACTATATCACCTATTGATATCTATATAAAAGTTCTAATATTTAGTCAAAACAGTAGGGATTCCTAAGTTTATATTTAAAACAAAATCTTAGTATTAAGAAGTCTTTGCAGGGGATGCCAAAATAAACCCAGTATTTTTTATGCGTACACCCATGATGTCAAAAACCATTCGTAATATGTGCTTACCTATACTAATAGAGACCTATCGTGAAACCGTATTGTAATGCACAAAACTTATTTAATATTATATATTAGAATATATTAGTCCGTGATGATTTAATTATCAAACTCATAATAGCGGTTTGATTAAAAACATTTATTATGAATCATATCTCATCAAAAGTTTCTCTGCTATAATCCATGTGTAGTAGTAGTTAAGCCTGAGCATTATCAAATTAATAAGTTAAAAGTTAAATTAGATTTATTAACTCAACTTATTTTCTTTAGGTTAATAATTTAAATTTTTAACTTAACGGAGTTACATCTAGCAATTCAATGAATTCATATTAATATATTATTGTTAATTTTGCACACAATAAATCTTACTTGAATCTACTTATACCTATTTATATACCTACCCTTATTAACCAACTATATCTAATAAATGGTAATACATGTCTTGGTTATTTCGAAGTGCGTATTATATAATATATATAAAAACTATGTATTCTTATGTTATCACTTTGAAAAACACACAAAATTGAACAATATCATATTGAATAATTATATACACAACATTAATTTAATAACCGGATATTTTTCTACATAAATAAATTAATATTAACATAGAAAAAAGAACAACATACATCCGGAAAAATATTTTTAGGAAATTACGACCCAACAGTCCATTATTTAATTTTACTACTATACATTACTTCCTTTAGTTATACATTTTTACAAGACCTAAATTGAAATGCATTGTTAACGCTGTGCCATTTAAATTAATCACTGATGAATATTAAAAAAAATAATTTAAAAAATCAAGGATTATACCGAACTAAATATAATTTAAGTTTTATTTTTATAATTATACTACCAGTCTATAGTTTTAATTTGGCCTATCTTGACCAATTTTAAAATAATGTAATACATTTCAATATTAACTCTAACAAAAATGTAAAATTCATAATATTTTTACTAAAAACTATAAAAGACTATGTACCTATAGTATCATATTTATAATCGTATAATCAAAGGCTACTTATCTTATGACAAGAACATTGATTATAAATATATGATATGATAATACGAACACAAATAACAATATTTGTTAATTCTTGATAAATCCGACATTTAAGAATACCATCAACGAGCAGTTAGTTTCTCTCGTGTTACTTTATGCTTGTGTGTGAATGTAATTGTTAATCGTATTACTTACTATATCCTTTTAATATGGGTTTTATTTTTTTTTTTCTAAATTAAAATACATACATATACGATTACTGATACGATAATAATTATATAATTATCGTTATCTGTATAGTAAAAAAGTGCTCCATTTTTTAAGCAAAATTAATCATAATAATTTTATCCCGTTACGTGCAAACTACATATATTCATATTGTATACAAATATAATATAGTAGGTTTTCTTTTTTGATATATTCGTTGTCTTTAATTCAATTTACAAAATATAAAAATGTAAGTAGAATAATGGTTCATATAGTATATATATAATACTACTATGTTCCTACATGTATATTTTATTTATATATACCTGCCTACGTTCTTTAATATATTATTATGCTTATTTTCGTTATGGTCAATAGAACTAAAAACTATTACATGGAATTCAATTACTTAAAAGAACAAAAATTATCGTAAAATATTCTATGTTAATATTCAATAATACCAGTCATGTTCACTAATATATACAATTAACTGACCGATGTATTACTATAGGGTAACTATTATCGACTATAGTCTATAAGTATAATTGTTTCAAGTTGAAACTTCTAAAAGGTTATTTTTATCATTATATTCTGAATCTATAACAAAATTTACAAAAAATATTTTCTATCCATCTTGATTACGAACAATATAAAACTACTTCAATGCAAGGTCCTTTACGTTTTGTTATTTGATACACGACCCAGATTTGGAATGATCTGATGTTATAAATGTCATATCGATACGTGCGAGCGAAATATATTGAGGAAAAAAATCTGATATCTAAATGTATAGACCATTTAATTGTAACAAAGGATGTATTTCTCTGAATCATTTGTCTCTGGATCATCAAGATATGATCATGAATGTGGTGTCAAATAGAAGCTGAGAAATGAGGAGAAAGTAATATGACCTATCGCCGTGAGTAATGATTGACACCCTTTTGGCTGCTATAGTAGCACAAAACGAAGGGTTGACTAATTATTAATCTCGTAATAGAAAACGCCTACCTAACTACAACACAAGAAAAGCGAAAATCACTAGAACAATATACACCCTTATTTGGGATGTCACTCTTGTAATGCGAACCTGACCATTTTCAGATTGTGTATGACGTCATGTAAATTTAAATGCTTACCTAAAATATAATTATCTAGAAATTATCTTGCAATATTGTTAAGATTCACATCCAGTTTGATATGGTATAGTGCTATATAAGTAGACATATTTATAGATATGATTACATATCTACATGTACATATTAGTGCTCCAGTGGCGTAGCCAGGAACTTTTTATGGGGGGGTTCAGCAAATGTATATATATTTAATCTTATCACTATCATTTTGACTACTATTTGTATTGATCTCGGTATTTTTAAGCCTGGTTGACATTAGTTTTTTTTGACTCAGGTAAAAAAAAATAATTGATATTTCTAGTCTACTTATTTATTAGAGAATTTGCTTATAATAATTAATAATAATAAAAACAATAAAAATTTAGGAACTAGAAACTAATATTGGAACAAAATATCTTACCATTATGGGATATTTAGACGTCTTAAAATGATGTAAAATTAAAATAAAAAAAATATAATGGATTACAAATGTCAAATATAAACGAATAAACGAGTAGTAAGTAAAATAGTGATACACCAACGGGCAACGACCAACTATTAACTAATAACTATTAGTTTTACACAATAAGGTGCTTGTGTTAAATGATCGGCGAGCCGTGAATGCAATAGGTATACCCGTGGGCATAACTTGGACATTTATTGGGGGGGGGGGGCAAATATATAATTACATATCTAACGAAAAGGGTGTCCGGAGCCAAGGTTGGACTAGTTTTATAGCTTGGCCCGGGCAAAATAATTTCGAACGGCCTCAATGGAACTTTATAAGTAGGTACCTAATCAAATTATTGTTTAACTGAAAATGTATCTTCGTAACTCAAAAAAAACAATATTCACACAAGTACATTTGAATATTTTCAGATTTAATGTTATACCTTAAATAAATCTAGTTTACGCATGATATATCTTATCTATAATATTGATATAATTACCTACCTATTAAGATAAATTTTACACCATAAAAAATGATTTGATTTAAATATGTTTATACATTTAATTTTAATTAAGTTAGAACAGTGGGGTCGGCAACTAATGTCTCTTTTATGCGGCCCACAGTAAATTTCAAAACTAGCAAATATCACTAAGTATCATATAATTTTTTTATATTGTCTGGCTCTAGAACCATTTTTAATTTGTGAATGTGGCCCAAAGGTTCATAAAGG